GCATATACATATACATATACATACATACATACATACATACATACATACACGTGTACACACAAACAACACACACACTTATATATATATATATATATATGCATACACACAAAAATACATAAATACGTATATACATAGATACAAGTATGCACACATATACACGCACACACCCATCCACCCGCCCACGCACACACACGCTTATACATACAATATATATATATATTATATATGTATATGGGGTATTTATATCTGTGTATTAGACCATCGACAGTAATTGTCCTCATTTTGCACAGCTGTCTATCAAATTCCCCAATCTGTTGATTTAAAAGTATTGTAAACAAGTATCTTTTTCGCGTATACATTGCTTTCTCACCTCCAGTCGTCAACAAAATATGCACTAATGCCCTACTATACATCCCAGGCTTCGCGTATCTCTTTACCTTTGCAACCTTTATAATAAGTCGACAACAGTTTTATATGAATAGGGAACTTAATCGTACGAGTATAGCGACAAGCAAAGTACAATTCACCTACTTTCTGACCATTTGCTGGGTTTTTTTTGGTGTACGACTTGGCAAAAGCTTCATCCACTAACTGCTGTCTGGTTGGGCCTGCCTTAGAAGCGCCTTGTTCGTGTTCGTCCATGATGACCTTATCGTACCAATCTATTTTACTAGAGTTGTTGAATAACACTTGTACCATTGAAACATGTGGCGCTGCTATCACTCTTTTAATAGAACGTGCACCTCATCATCTCATCATCTCACCATGACAGTATCACCCCAAAGAACCTTTTTTGAAAAAAATGTTTTGACGGTCTAACATGCCGCAATACACTTTCAAATTTCAATACATACGTTTTGGCTGGATGGACTGTAGAGTAGATTCTATTGGACAGAGGGTTCTCTCTAGAGGCCTATTTAGAGGCTATTAAGAGGTCAACGAGGTTGCCACATAAGTATTCGGCCAATCGGATTAATGAGTGGACCCAAGTATCATACGTCACAGGCCGGACTTTGAATTTAGTGGCGCTCGAAAAAGAACAACCTTTTTTTTGGCGCGCAGGCCGCAGTGTCGTGTTTGTCTCGGTCACCGTGTCACGTAATCGCAAACTCGCAGTGAGGTCTCTCGGGATGGAAAACATTTAAAAAAACAATAAATAAACAGAACACTTCTCTTGACTCGGCGGGTCTCCATGAAACGATGAACATTAACATTGTTCACTCCTCGGAGCCATAGGATTATCTGTCATTAGACAGTCCAAAGTTATTCGAATTCAATTTGGTCCTCATGTTGCTATTAATTACGACATTCACAGTCCGGTACACTTTATCACTTTCAATTTCACACCTTTCATGCGGAAACAGTAAAACAGAAAACGATCTCGAAAGTAGTAGTGAACTGTATATATATATATCATATGGATGCACATGAACATGATAAATCACAACTTCACTGTGAACTTACCACTCACTCCTCTAGAGTGGACTTCGGATTTTACTCAAAAGACAGAAGAACAGCTTTATTAGTTTATTTAAAAGCCTCAACTCAAGAGTTACCCGGACTATTGATCCTAATCTGAAATTTCAAATTTCGTTCCGCTCTTCGTGACTGAATTCTGAAACCTCACATGGTTGCAGTAAGTATGTGGTATGTAAAACACACTGGATGTGTTTAGCTAGGCCTCGCGCCCCGACCCAGGCCCAGGGGCTCAGGGCCCAGAGTGGCCTATGTACTACTAGTAGAATAGAGTAGAGGGACCAGGGACCAGGGACCACCGACCACTAATAACCTCACTAACCACTGACCAGCCCAGTTGATTATTATTAGTTCATATTCAGTTTTGAAGTTTTCAGGTATCATTAGTCATTAGTCATTTAAGCAAGAGTATGCTATTTAACTGGCTAAATAAAGCTAGAAATTCGATTTTTGATAGGCCTGGAAAGACCCCTTTCTATTATCTGGCTTTATTTTAAATCAGCTACCTTTTTCAACCCATCGTTTTTTTTTGGACAAAAATCAGCCCTATGTACATACTTTTTTTTAGGAGGCTACATATGGACTGGGCCACTCTGGTGGTGGGGAGTGGGTCAGGGCGATCACTATGAGACTGTGAGACGGGGGGCCCCTGTGGGGGATATTTCACATAATTAAGAAATAGTAATAAAAATAAATAGCAGCACAATATTTTACGCGGCAATCAGACAGCCATCTCTCGATTCTCGCCCATTGCACAGTAGTGCTAGTTTGTATTTATATAAATAAAAATAGCTGATACATAGTTGATACCATTTTGACCACGGTCATCTAGTTACCACATTAATCCATACACATGCATATGTGACTTACTTCCGTACACGCATATGCGACACATTCAAAGTTTAGGGCTTAACTACCTGTCGCCGCCATGAAATTCGGCAAGCGTTTGCTCACGGAGTCCTATCCTCCTTGGTCGAGGTATGTGCGGTTTTTGGTGCAGTTGGTATCGATTGCAACTATCAACACGCACGATTGTCTTTTATAGCCTTTTGGGAAAGTATGAATATCCTACTTCCGTAGTAATTATCATTTGATATGCCAACTGGCTGTGCATGCTAGTTCATGGCTATGATTGAAGTGCTAAGGCTCCGTTTAAAAGTGTAGGGGGTGATTGTATACGTATGAAACGTCTTCTAATCTCTGTTGCGTTCGCCGTGAAACCAGGCATTATCTCAACTACAAACATCTGAAGAAGGTCATCAAAAACAATCCCAGAGCAGAGCCCAGTCCCTTCTTTTTCGAACTTGATCGGGACCTGGAAAAGGTAGGAAACACTACTTATAACATATTACTCACAACTCCTGCCATGTTTTATTGCTACTAGAAAGTCATCCTCGGAAACATGGACTAGGTTTTTCATTTTGACTGGGTTACTATCCTCTGCGTGATGCCTTTAGACTACACTATATGTTTTACTTTCTAGATGGACCATAGGTGAGATTTGTCATCGACTATATATGCTTGATATCTGTCTGGTGCACAGGTCACGGCCTTCTACCTCAGAAAAGTAGCCGAGCTGAAAGACAGATTGGAGCGACTAAAGCGCCGGAGTGCGGTCTATACTAAAGCCCTACAGAAGAACAAGATGGCCACGGAAACACTCATCGCATCGTTCAAGGCATTCTTGAACGAGATCGGAATCCTGCAGGAATTTGTGAGCCTAAATTCCACAGGATTCCGAAAGATCCTGAAGAAACACGACAAGAACCTGCAACTGCAAACACAAGAGCTGTACCTCTCCTCCAAGGTGGCTGTGCAGCCTTTCACACTTGATGCGAAGGTATGTATTCAATATATACATAGGTTTTTGGCGTGGTCTTGATAGTGTACTGTTATGTCACAGTTCACGTATCTCGAGAGTGTGGGCATTTGCCAAAGACCTCATGAATGTTGGTGTATACCGAGCCTATGTGGGGTTCTATCAGTTAAGCCACAGTGCGTGCCTGCCAGTGTTTATCGCTTCATGTGTGTCTCTGTATTGTTAATAATCACAAAATTAAGCTCTGTTATGACAATCTATAGTGACTGGTATATGCGGCATTCGTTATTGGTTTGGTTGAGAAACGGGTGTGTATATTTCTCTAGAGCTTCGCTGGCGTTTCCACGCATGTCTGCTGCGGATGGCTCACCATGGCTATTTGCAGATGTATCGAAAGAAGGCTATAATTAGTGTGTAGCTTGGTAGGGATAAGTTGGAAACAAATCAGAATTTGGGCACATCCTTTTCGCTCCCTCTCTTAATGTATACATGGGGCGCAAACACAAAAATGCCACACATATTTATATATAAAAATGGCACACATGTATATATAGATCACATCCAAATTTCCAATTGTGGTCAGTATTAGGATTGTGTCTATTGTAAGCGCATTGGGAGAATGTAATCTCAAGGATTCGCCTCGTCCAAACGGAGAGGCCCAGAGGAAGAGGATGGTGTGCATGTTGTTGTCAAACAGCCTTCGCTGGACAGTACCGCTCATATTATCCACCATCGCATCTACGCTTTCAAACAATGCTGATAAAGTTCGCAATCGCTTTCCGCACAAATAAATATGCGCATATACATGTAGCAGACATATATAGCGCTATTGCACGTAGTACATACGTTGCCCTGTACTCAGTACCCTTGTGCACATCCCCAATGTTAGACTTGCTACTAGTTGGGTGTACTATCACATATGTGGTGGTGATGATCACACAACGCATCATCGCATCTATGGCATCGAACAAAACTGACAATGTGTGCAATCATTATCTCTTCGAAAACTGCCACGCATAATTCAAATATACTAACTTGCAAATATATAGTACGAGATGCAGCGAACTGGTGTTGGCCTACTTATTATTCGTTTCAGCGGACTGGTGTTGTCCTATTTATTACTCGTTTGAACTGATTTTATATATATATATACATGCATATATACACACACACACACACACATACATACATACATACATACATACATACATCATACATACATACATACATACATACATACATACATACATACAGACATACATACATACATACATACATACATACATACATACATACATACATACATACATACATACATACATACATACATACATAC